TCGGTTTTGGGAGCTAAGTAAGAGGGGGAATCTTCTTTGAAATTTTGAAAAGAGGGGGGAAAACAAAAGAAGTAATGGACCAAAACAAGGGAAAAGGAAACAAACCAAAAGGAAGGGGAGAAGGGGTGTCTCGGCCCCAAAACCGAGACACCCCAAGGTGTCTCGGCCAAGGGGGAGACACCCCCGGGCATCTCGAGTCCCGTTTTGTCCTCGTATGCCTGTTTTGGACCCGGATACGCCCGTTTTCGTCGATTATTGGATGTTTTGATGAAAATCAACACCAATCAACATTCGATACACGAAACCCTAAGGGTCAACGCCGGTCAACGCGTAACCCTAGGTCAACGCCAGTCAACGCGTTGCGACAAAAGTCAACGTTCGAGGATGAAAATCCACACCAATCGACGTTCGACGATTCAAAACCCTAAGGGTCAACGCCGGTCAACGCGTAACCCTAGGTCAACGCCAGTCAACGCGTTGCGACAAAAGTCAACGTTCGAGGATGAAAATCCACACCAATCAACGTTCGACGATTCAAAACCCTAAGGGTCAACGCCGGTCAACGCGTAACCCTAGGTCAACGCCAGTCAACGCGTTGCGACAAAAGTCAACGTTCGAGGATGAAAATCCACAACGTTTGACTAGCCCTAGGTCAACGCCAGTCAACGCGTTGCGACAAAAGTCAACGTTCGAGGATGAAAATCCACACCAATCAACGTTCGACGATTCAAAATCCTAAGGGTCGACGCCGGTCAACGCATAACCCTAGGTCAACGCCAGTCAACGCGTTGCAACCAGAGTCAGTGTTCGACGATTCAAAACCCTAAGGGTCAACGCCAGTCAACGCGTTGCGACAAAAGTCAACGTTCGAGGATGAAAATCCACACCAATCAACGTTTGACGATTCAAAACCCTAAGGGTCAACGCCGGTCAACGCGTAACCCTAGGTCAACCCCAGTCAACGGGTTGCACCAAAAGTCAACGTATGACCTATAACTGCGAGTCATTGATGCATCAACTCCACTAGTTGGTCTCGTGACTTGAGTACCCAACAAATTCAGGATAAAATCCACACATGCAGATTAATCAGCTTTAACAGTTGGTCCTGCAGCCCCGACACCTGGGACCGCTTTGCTCCAATACCTTAAGAGCTTAAACTGTGTATACTCCAGCAAACGTACGAGTATAAACTGTGTTAATGGCGATCCGTAAACCCTAGGGTCAACGCCGGTCAACGCGTAACCCTAGGTCAACGCCAGTCAACGCGTTGCGACAAAAGTCAACGTTCGAGGATGAAAATCCACACCAATCAACGTTCGACGATTCAAAACCCTGAGGGTCGACGCCAGTCAACGCATAACCCTAGGTCAACGCCAGTCAACGCGTTGCAACAAGAGTCAACGTTCGACGATTCAAAACCCTAAGGGCCAACGCGGGTCAACGCGTAACCCTAGGTCAACGCCAGTCAACGCGTTGCGACAAAAATCAACGTTCGAGGATGAAAATCCACAACGTTTGACGATTCAAAACCCTAAGGGTCAACGCCGGCCAACGCGTAACCCTAGGTCAACGCCAGTCAACGCGTTTCGACAAAAGTCAACGTTCGAGGATGAAAATCCACAACGTTTGACGATTCAAAACCCTAAGGGTCAACGCCGGCCAACGCGTAACCCTAGGTCAACTCCAGTCAACGCGTTGCAACAAAAGTCAACGTATGACGATCGATTCGAAACCCTAGGGTGGACGCCGGTCAACGCGTAGCCCTAGGTCAACGCCGGTCAACGCGTTGTAAACGAAAGTCAACGTTCGGGGATCCGAAACCCTAAGCCAGCACAATGTGGCGGAGGTAGTTCAAAGTCAACTCAATGACACGAGCCAAACTCAATTCATCAGCTGCAGACTCGAGACTCTGACGACGGCCAGACGATAAACGCAGTGCCGGAAGAACCTCGGCTATTCGTCAAAGCATCGAATAGACCGAAAATCGAAAGAGCCAAGAGTTGAAGCCAACCACAGGTCCTGACGCCGACTGATGGCCAGACCAATCATATCCAAAGTATTCCAGCCTCTTCTATAAAAGAAACGAGTCCGGAACACTTTGGAGGGGGTATCTGTAGGCATCGAAAATTGCCTATAGGTCTCCACAAACGGTTCAGTGTTAACGAGCGACAATGAACATCACCATCCGACCCACATGA